GAAGCTGAATTCCTCAATCCTGTTACTAAAGAAAACCAAGCAGAGATAAGAACAAAAGGCCACTGCAGACACCTGCGATGCAAATGAAAATGCAAAATGCAAAACGTAAACATGTCTATGTATTTACAAGGAGATATCCCCCTTGATTCCGATTTCAATAAACATGAACAGAAGAGATGGATAAAAATATCACAATAATCTTCTCATATATCAAGTAAAGCCGAGACAATACATATCAACAAATGAGAAAGATCCGAGTACAAAAAGGTACTGATCCCATCCAACAGATCTGGTGATGATCAAGATATAAAAGAAGAGAAATTACTATGACATATCAGAAGATACTCAATTGACACCCCTATTAAAAATATTATAAAATAATATATAATACTTAAATATTAAATGCAAACAAAAAAAATACATGTGTGTTATAGGACTGTTGATGTTTCTTGTTAAAATAAGGAGGTGCACCAGTAATATTGGAGTCTTTTTTAAAAATAATACAAGTGCATAATAGAATAAATATATCCTCTTAAAGATAGCGCCAATAGTAGTGGAGTCCACGTGTAAAAATTTTAATGTATTTTTTAAAATTGAGATAGATTGAGATTTTCTTTTTTTAAATTAAATGGTGATTGTTTTGAAAATAATTTTTAAATGCCACAATCAATATTTACTTTGAAAAAAACAAGAGGGGTGCCAATAAATAAGAAAATCATTTTTTCATTCCAATAATAAAACAGGTATTACTTATTATAGAAAAAAGCAATCAATATTTAATATGAAGAATATACATGATTGATTTTATTTTACATGAGTAGTGAATATGATTTATTTTAAGTCTTATAAAATATAAGTAGTTGAATTTAAATAATTAAAACTTTCCATTTATAACTGATTATTTTTATTTATTATATTAATCAATTTCACGTGAATTATTATATATATATATATATATATATATATATATATATATATATATATATATATATATATATATATATATATATATATATATATATATATATATATATATATATATATATATATATATATATATATATATATATATATATATATATATATATATATATATATATATATATATATATATATATATATATATATATATTATTCACTCATTCATATTTGAAATGGAGTTTCTATTCTCCACGAATCAGAACACTAGCCAACTATATAAACACAATTGTTGTTAATTACTATAAAAAAAAAAGGTATATGTGATTACTAAATATATATAAACATATGGTATCATATAAAAATAACAGATAATTATTCAAACTATGTTACCATCTTCGCTATTACGAGTGCTTTCCAAGTTCTAAGGTACACTGCATCTGTCACTCTATTTATGACAAGTTTTATTATATAAATTTATAAAAAAATATCCATAATAATTAGTTATTACTGAAAATTATTAAAACGTGAAAAAGTAATGTTATTTCAAGAATGAGTTTCTTAAGTTAAAAATAATAATAACCTATGTTTTTGAGTTATGCCACGTCCCTTTAAGTCTATGAAACCTTTTTAAAATAAAAAAAAAACTTTATCTCTAGATTTAAAAAAAGATACAAACATTTTTAAATCTTTTACGAGTTTAATTTTTATGACATCTCTCGTATCAAAAAATACAATTTTTTATGAGAAATTATTTCATTTTAAACTTATTTTTAAAAATTTTATTGTTATTTTCGGTCTATGACTATGTTAATAGTGATATTAATGTTTATACCAATAATATAATTATCACTCTTATTAAATTCTAAAAACATAACGATATAGCTACACCTAGCCCTTTTCCTTTCATTAAACATGAACTTTTCACTCCTTCTAAACCCGAGTATTCTCTCACTTTTAATTTGAATATTCTGTTACTAACCCTCGCACCCCTTAGACGATCCTATAGAAATAAACATGTATCATGCTACCTAAAAACTTATAATGAGTAATAATTGACTACCTTTAAACCATATACCTTTCATACCTTTCTGTCTTATCCGCTCCAGATATGAATTAAACAACCGGTTGCTATTAGACCTAGGGTTAATAAATAAAAAAATATAAGGTTAATATGAGTTTATCTCAGACAGAAATTGATGCTAAAAGGTAATCCATAATAAAACGAGTATGACCATAACAATTAATATGTTTTGTATATTTGCTTTTATAGTGACCATAGCCTAGTTTCATTTAACAACATGCCGAACCAATTCATTATTACCTCGAGACACAAAATTAAATCACATGCTTTTATACTTTTTTTTTAATTATTATTTAGATTAATCTACATCTCAAATCTTACTCAAATCTGTCTCTCTCATGCCTCTCTCCCACATAGTTTTTTCTCCCATGCCTCTCTCCCACATAGTTTTTTCTCCCTTCATTATCATTCTTTTTTCTTCACAAACCTTTTTTTCTATGTACAATCTATTATATGCAGGACTATCCATCTCACAACTTATTTTTTAGCACCTCTTTTATGTTAATGTTTAATGCAAAGCTAACAAAAATACAATTTATGCTTGATTTTAAATTTCTTCAAGAGTTAAGCTTTAATTTCTAATTTTTGTTTTGTATTCTTCTTACTCTCTATTCAAATTTTCTTGCTTTAACAAAGAAGAGTAATTTATAACTAAGCTTTTAAGAAGAAATCATCTTGTTTAGTTTTTGTTTCTCAATTTAGTGAGTTACTATGATTTACATTTTTGGATATGATTTTTTTCTCTTTCTTATTATGTGTTATTAGGTTTTGTCACTACACAAATCACCTTCTTTACTCAAACATAACCACCCACCATATTCGTCATCAGGTAAATCTGAAAACTGGTGTATCCGAGCAATCAAACAAATGAAAATGAATTGATTTTTACATAGTTTAGTTTACATGCAATTGCTAATTTTAAATTTGTCACCGTCCGAAACCGGCCGTTTTCCACTTCTACTTCCTATCACTCTCTACCAACCATATCTCACTTAAATATATCATTATATTAATTTATTTATACACAAAAATTGTTAGTATTAGTGGTAAAGGTACCAAATTCATCAAAACAAGAAAGGTAGCAAATTATTTTCCTTGCAAATCATCAACTAATTATCCTTTATCACATCATATGATAATCGTTCCACTCCATACAAACACTATTTTTGTTTTATATAATCTACTATTGAACATAAAACTTACTAAGGAGCCTCAAAACTTGATTATGAAAGAAAATCAATGGATAGAGAATTGTGTCTTCTTGTAAAAAATCAAACTCATACTATAATTGATATTCTTAATGGCAAGGTCTTTAAATAGATACATAAGGTTAAATATAATGTCAATGAAAGATGTACGTTATTTCGACACATTTTAACGTGTTCCCAAAATTTCTACTATCGTAGTCTTAGTGTCTTTGATAACTATCGAGAGTGTTATGTTTTATGGGAATTCAAACCATGATACATTTATTGTCAAAACAAATTGGATGACAAATTTTGCATGATCTTGATTAACTCATATTATTCCATGACTGATTTTTTATTATATAAAATAAAATATATATTTAACCTTTTAGAGGACTCGTGTTTTCTTATTGTCAAACCATACGATTTTTCCTATGATCTTACAAAAACCTCTTAGCCATTAAAGGTTTACCAATAGAAAAACCAACAAAGATATAATAGATAATTACAATCTTTCATGTATCAATATATTTTGGTTTTTCTATAATTCACAAAATCTTAAAAAAAACAAAACATTATTTTTAGACTTTTCATAATGCTTAATAGCGCATTTTAACCTTCTTAACCTGAGAAATCCAATAATTTATGTGCATATTTTTCAAATCCTTTCTAATTAATGATAGTTTTTTTTTTCATTGAGTTAGGGTTAGAAAAATAATAAATTATATAGAAAAATATATAACCCTACATGGTATCATATAACAATAATATAATCATCTAAACCATGTTCTCATCTCCCCTTTATGAGTACTTTATATGTATTAAGGTACCCTTTGCTTGCTAGTCAGCACTCAGCACATGACCATTTATGAATCAATAAAAGAACAATCAAGTAGAAAAAATCAATAACAAGAATTTAGCTATTACTAAAAATAAATATTAAAGCATGAAAAAGAATGTTACTATTCCAAGTGTGGGTGGGGTCGTTCGGTGTAGAAAAACGCAGGAAATCAGGTGAGAGACGATTGCTGAGGCACGTGAGTCAGCGTGTTTTGTCAGCTGTTACTACCTTTTAAGTCACGTGTCGTACAATAGAACCCTTTCTCGATCATTACTACACTCCTCTTCACTCTAACTAGTCCCACCTCTTACCGTGCTCTCGCCCTCACTATATCCCCTCTCCCAGCAGCCAAACTAAGCAAGAAACACAATAACCAACAAAAATTGGACACGCAAGTTAAAATCACGAAATGAAAACAACACAATATATATAGTTAGAGAGAGAGAGAATCAGAGAGAGAGAGTCTTGTTCTATTATTCACACAAAATCACAATCACAATCACAAAACCTTATTCAAAGGGATTTTCCCCAAATCTTCCATCGGAGAATTTTAGGGTTTTCTATTCTTCACCCTTCACCAGATTTTCTCCATTATTCTTCGGGATTTCCCTTACTTATTCCGATTTACCAACTTTATATCTCTACATCGTCATTGCCGTTTTCTTCGCGCCACTCCAAACCCTTCAGGTTTTTTTCTCTCTTCTTTTTCTTCTAATCTCACGCATTTCTATCTTGTTTTTATCATTACTAACACGGTTAGTCTCTTGATCGTTTCAGAATTTCGATAACGTAAAAATCGATAAATCTTTTTTTTTTTTTGGTTTTGTATGATTGATATTTTTTTGATTTGTTTGTAGAAGATATTTCTGAAGTGTGTTAGAATTGAGACAAGTTGTTGTTGGTGGTGGTAGAATGTAGGTGTGATCTTGAGAAGATTGAGTGTGGTTGTTTGTGAACGTATTTTATAATTATGAGGAAGAAAAGGAAAGGAAGTGAGACTGATGCTGCATCTAGGAATCTGGGGGGTGTTATTTTGCCTTTGAATCATGGTTCTGTTGAGTCGGCGAATTTGAAGTCTCATTACTCGTTGGAAGATTGTTGTAGGTTGAAGAAAAGGTGCAAGGAAGATGCTGGTACTGAGCCGGCTGGTTCTTTTAAGAGTAGGCTTGCTGGCATTGCTACTGCGCCGCCATTTGGGACGTCGTCTTTGCTTACACCGAGTAGGGGTTTAAAGCGGAAGATAGGTTGTATTGATGTTGCTACTCAGATGGGAAGGAAGAAGAAGATTGAGGATGATTATGTTTCCGGTGAATCGATCGGGCAAGGAAAATTTGGATCGGTTTATCTGTGTTGGTCTAGGGCTAGTGGAGCAGAATATGCATGTAAGACTTTGAAGAAGGGAGAGGAGACGGTTCATCGGGAGGTTGAGATAATGCAACACTTGTCTGGACATTCTGGGGTTGTGACACTGCAAGCAGTTTACGAAGAAGAGGAATCCTTTCATCTTGTGATGGAATTGTGCTCTGGGGGACGACTGATTGATCAAATGGTTAAGGATGGACCTTATTCAGAACAGCGGGCTGCTAACATACTCAAGGAAGTGATGTTAGTCATCAAGTATTGTCATGACATGGGGGTTGTGCACAGAGATATCAAACCTGAGAATATTCTGCTTACCAAATCAGGAAAGTTAAAGCTTGCTGATTTTGGACTCGCCATGAGAATTTCGGAAGGTAATTTGCAAACCCTATCTCGATATTGTTTTCCTTTTATGTGTGTGAATGTGTTTAACTTTGACCGAATCCTTTCATAGCGTTCTCTTGTTTAAAAAATATATCCACTAGGTATCTAATCTGCATTGTGATCTTTCATGTTAGTCCGTACTTGCTTTTTGTGATTTCCTATGACATTGTTAACAAAATATTTAAGTGTTTATCACAATCAGCTTTCAACTTGTACTCATGAATTTTGGAAGTGTTGTTTTTGCAACTATTTGCAATTTCCATGTATTCCATCATTAGCTGTTTTTAATGTCAAAATGTTTTTAGGAATAAAAAATGGCGGGGTTTTGTCTTGCTCGGCTATCTCCCGCAAGTTTTCCGTGTTCATCATCAAAAATGGAATAAAATTAAATACTCACTTTGATCCTCCAGATGTCCTTATCGGCGCATTATTGCGAAATTAATCGCATAAAGATTTAAATGGAAAGCTTATCAATTAGTGGAGGGAGGTAGTTGATAGGTATCACGACCCGACCGCCCATAAAAACACATTACTGACCCGTCCTTCAAAACACATGATCCGAATAGTTAAACCTAATAGTAGATTAACCTCTTCAGCCCGTCACAATTCATACTATTGAGCAGCCTCATACCTGCGCCATCAAACTCTAAAACCTGTATTTTTAAACCCATGACCCATATAGTAAACCCTAATAATCGAGTTATCTCTTTGGCTCTTCATTGTCAAACTATCGAGCTACCTGTTAATCACTCCCTTTACTCTTCAGCTGGAATACTCATTTGTTTTCTTTCAGCCTGTCATAGTTCATACCATTGAGCAGTCTCATACCGCGCCATCAAACTCTAAAACCCGTATTTTTTAACACATGACCCATGTAGTAAACCATAATGACAGTAATCTCTTTGGCTCTCCGCCGTCAAACTATTGAGCAGCCTCCTATTCACTCTCCTTAACTCTTCAGCTGGAATAATCATTTGTTTCAGCCCGTCATAGTTCATACAATTGAACAGCCTCATACCTGCCCCATCAAACTCTAAAACCTGTATTTTTAAATACGGCCCATATAGTAAACCCTAATGACAGTAATCTGTTTGGCTTTCCACCGTCAAACTATCGAGCAGCCTCCTAATCACTCTCTTTAACTCTTCAGCTGGAATACTCCTTTCAGCCCATCATAGTTCATACAATTGAGCAGCCTCATAGCTGCCCCATTAAACTCTAAAACCCGTATTTTTAAACACATGACCCATATAGTAAACCCTAATGACAGTAATCTCTTTGGCTCTCCACCGTCAAACTATTGAGCAGCCTCCTAATCACTCTCCTTAACTCATCAGCTGGAATGCTCATTTGTTTTCTTTCAGCCCGTCATAGTTCATACAATTGAGCAGCCTCATAACTGCCCCATCAAACTCTAAAACCTCTATTTTTAAACCAGTGTTGTAGATGGCGGATAGCGGTACATGGCGGAGTGCCAAAATCCCGCCATACCAGCTGCTTTGAGGTGCCGTTATAGAGGATTATGGCGGAAAAACCTGCAATATTGGCCGATATTTACCGTTGCGACGAGCCCAAAAATCGCCATGTATATAGGCCATAGCGGCTGTGTCGCCACAATTTGATAACACTATTTTAAACACATGACCCCTATAGTAAACCCTATTTACAGTAATCTCTTTGGCTCTTCACCGGCAAACTATCGAGCAGCCTCCTAGTCTCTCTCCTTAACTCTTCAGCTGGAATACTTGTTTGTTTTCTTTCAGCCTGTTATAATTCTACTATTTAGCAGCGTCATACCTGCGCCACCAAACTCTAATACCTGTATTTTTAACACATGACCCATATAGTAAACCTTAATAATAGAGTAATCTCTTTAGCTTTTCACCGTCACTATTGAGCAGCCTCCTAATCACTTCCCTTACTCTTCAGCTGGTGACCTGTACTGTATTCTCCGGACTCTATTTTCTGACAAAGTTCATTTTCCACTTCTCATTCTTCATTCCTTCTGTTATTATGATTTTCCTATCCATCCTTTACTATTATGGTGTTTTCCTCCTCTGCTCTGTACTATTTGTGCAATTTCTTATTTTTTATGTTCTCTTATATTTTTGTTTGGTAGCATGATAATTTAAGTTTACACTTCACAGTTCTTGACATTTTTTTGTTTGTTTAAAAGTTAATATTTTGAGGTTTTTTTTTGGCATACTTATGCATTATATTTTTTTGCTTGCTGTTATGAACCGCCAAAACGTTGTCATTTTGGTCCTCCAAAACCATTATCACCCAATTTAGCGCCTCAAAGATGCAAAATTATCAGCAAGTTAATTCTTTACTATCACTAACCCAGTCTTTCACATGGACTAATATGGTGACTATTATTTTTCCTTGAGGGGCTAATTTGGTGAAGATTTCGTTTAAGAACTACCAAAGTAACACTAATGTTTGTGACTAATTTGGTCACAGAAGTCTTTAAAGTGCTAGTGTGGCAACATCCCAATCTTTGGAGGGTAAATTGATGGTTTACTCTTGTAAACTGTGTTGGTGGCGTGGGACTGGGTCATAGGGAAAAGGCTGGTATATGTATGGACTTAACTTGTTCTTATGGTAGGGAAAAATCGTTTATATTTTTTTCAAGTAGTTACTGACTTTATTAACACAGTTGACCTATTTTAATCTGGTTCAATTATCAGTCATATATTATTTGCTAAAGCAATGTCGAATAAGCTTAAAATTTATTTCTCAGGCCAAAACTTGACTGGATTGGCTGGAAGCCCTGCATATGTTGCCCCCGAAGTAATATCAGGCAAATACTCTGAGAAGGTTGATATATGGAGTGCTGGAGTGCTCCTGCATGCTCTGTTGATTGGCTGCCTTCCATTTCAGGGAGATTCATTGGAAGCTGTTTTTGAGGCTATTAAGACTGTCAAATTAGATTTCCAAGCAGGGATGTGGGAATCAATATCTAAACCTGCACGTGATCTTATTGGGAGAATGCTGTCAAGGGATACCTCGACCAGGATATCAGCTGATGAAGTACTTCGTAAGTTCATATGATAGATCATGAAAATTTGTTGTTGGGTGCCTCTGATTTAAATTTCTTCTATTGAAATGAAAATAGATGATAGTTCCAAGTTTTTTTCTTATATTTATCTTTTGTTGCGCCAACTCAAGGAATTTCAATAAATTGAAGACTTGCCAAGTTACAACAAGCTTTACTAACCAACCTTTTTGCACTGCTCGTGTTAATTTATCTTTTATTATTTGGGTAGAATGGTGAATCTGTTCATGTTCTAGTATATACTATCTATTTCGTTGTATGTTCCTTATCAATACCTATGATACTATACTTTTTGAAGAAACTCTGATAAAATATTGTTTGATTGTAATAAAGTTGTCTTTGCATGTTATACTAAATATTCGGTCTTCCAATTTCAGGGCATCCATGGATTTTGTTCTACACTGCCCAATCCTTGACGATGCTGCCCATCAAAGCAAAATTGAAGAATCAAACTGGTGGCGCTTGCAGACGGCTTATCGCCGCACCAGAACCTAGGTTAGGAGGAAACTTGATAGATAATGGCTCACTTAGTGAGCTCTTAACCTCTGAAAGTTGCAATTCAGATGATCAGGATGAATGTGCGTTGATTGATGCACTTGCCACTGCAATTTCCCATGTGAGGATATCTGAACCAAAGAGGAGCAGGTTGTGTAGTCCGACTGGCCCCATAGTTCAGCAAGGTTCATCTAACATGAAGGCTAACAACCTTTGTAAAGCATTTTGACATAACGACAGGCTGACACCACTTGACTGTTTTTACTATTTTAGCTGTGGGAATAGTGGATTTTACATGCTGATATCCCATGTTAAGTTTGGCCTGGGTCTTCTCAAAGTTCCTTTCTAGTGTGAGATATAACTGCAGTACTTTTAGTTTGTCCCTTTGCTCGTTAACCTCAATAATAGTTGACTGACAACTGAAATAATTGTACAGCCTATGTAAATAGAGAATTAATCTATTATTTCCATGTTCTTGCTTCTCCCAGCAGTTTTGCCAAGTAGAATATGTTCCACTTGATGCTCAGGAATTTTAGGGTAGTTAATTAAGGACCTCCTTTATGACAAAATGACTGTCAATCTTATTATTGATTCTCTCCTGAAAAATTGGATTTGAGACACAATAAGCAATGCAACTTGAGTATTGGAAATAAGTGTCATTTGTTTTGCTTTTTCAAATTGAAGCACTCTGAATAATTATCAACCAAATGTTCTCACGTTATTACCATTGGGACCCTATATTCTGCCTCAATGGGAGAATCATTGATGCGTTTTAAAAATTAGATTATAATATCCATGTGTTTTTTACTGGGATAATTTAAGTCTGACTATCCGCACTAAGGGTCTGACTTACCACACCCAAAGGGCGCATTTTAGTTTTAAAAATTGCAGATTTTTTTTTTAAAAATTTTTAAAAATAATTTTTGTAATAATATTGAAAGATTTTTCAAATTTGTTTTTTATAAATTAAAAAATTAATTTTTACATCTTATAATATTATAAACATGATATGATTGAAGTTATATTTCAAAAATGATTTTCAATAAAAGGTTATTTGAAATAATTTTAAAATTAAGTAATTTTTTGAAACTTGATATTCAATTTTTTTTAATAAGATGATAAAATAATTATTCAAACTAAATTTTTAATTGAAGTTTTTATTAAAAAAATTATAAAAATTATAACGAAATAAAATAAAATAAACTGGCCCTAATTGTAATAGAAATATTAAGACGGTTGATTGTGAAATAGTTTAATTTTGAGTGATAATGAGATAGTTTGTGAAATAGTTTAATTTTGAGTCATAATGAGATAGTTTACTTTCAAAAACAAACCTTGATATCTCCTTGACTTTCATAGAAGTTTTCTACTGACTATTGTTTTTTACAACTTAAAATTAAAATTTTGACTGAATATTTTAAATTTATCTTTTCATAATTTAAACTTATCACCATTAAAAAGTGGAGGTATGTTTAGTAAAGTTCTCTTGTCAAAAACAGTGTTGAAAGTCATCTTTTTCGTGAGATGATCATTCTTTAAATATGAGTTAGAATGTGATACCACTTGTTAAACAGTGAATTGTGAAGGTTTCAAAATTATTGATTTAAACAAAATCATTTTCAAAATTAGAGTTTAAAAATGTTTTATCAAAAATGTTTTAAATATGAAGCAGAAATTCAAAGTAAAGAAATTAAGTGGAAAGTAAAATATATAATGAAAGAGGGATAACACCAGAAATTTATAGAGGTTCGATTTAATGAAGTGATCCACTCCACTTCTCAATAATTAATCTTAAGAGTATCTACTATTGCTTGAGAGCTTTTAAAAGGTTAAGCCCACAGACTTCTTTATATAAGGAAATGAAGTTTTCAGGATAATTTCTATTAAAACAACCAATAGGGCTTGAAACGGTTACTCTACAAACCAAACAATGAACAAGTTTGAAGTAGTTATTCTTCAAACCAAATGGAGATTTTGCACTGGATGATCTTGAACCATGATAGAGTTTTAAGTTGGCTATCCTCTGAACTGAGCCGAGGATTTATACGATCTGACCACGAACTGAACTAAATTTTTTTCCGGGTTGATCTCGAACTTTCTGAGCTTCTAATCGGACTGAACTAAAAAATTGAATGCGATTTTACACCAGACTGATCTCGAATCAATAGAGCTTTTAATCGGACTGAACTCAAGAACCGTTATGAATATTTTTTACTAGATGATCTTCACAGACCCAAAAGAGAACTTTTCTTCAATGACGAGCTCACAAATCAAATGGAGACTTCGACAAAATGTCCCAAATACAAACAAGATATTTTTCAATGGTTTACCTCCCAATCAAAATAATCATTTTCTAAGGAAGAACAATTTACTCAAGAAAAAAATCTACTCTTGATAAACTTATAATTATACCCCCACTTAGAACAATATCTTTATTGAGGCTCAAGAACACTCTCAAACCACTATGGCTAAAAGTATGAGAAATGCAAGAGTGATTAAGAGGGGTGATGAGAGAAATAAAAAGTGAGATTTTTCACGTTTTATGGATGATTTAAAATGATATAAAAATTCTCTATTTATAGGGCGAAAATGGTGTAAATCTTGAAGCAATCAATGAGCCAATTAAATGACCTAATAAATTAGGTAATGCAAATAATCAATTGTTGCTGCCCAAAATGGAAGATTTATATTGGGGGTTGTAATCAATCATTAACCGAATGTTACAATCGATTATAAATTCGATTAGGCGTAATCTAATCGGTTAGGCCAAAGATCTAATCAATTAGACAGTTGCAAAAAGTCTCCTAATCAATTGGACACTTCCCAAATCAATTGGCTAGGCCCCCAAAACAATTTTTTTTATTGTTCTTAATTAAAATTGAGATGCTTCTCAATGTTTTAAGTTTGTGTGATTTATCCATAATACTTCCAATTGATTAGGTCATTTAATTGACCCATTGATTATTTCAATGCACACTCAAACAGACATGACCATACGAGCTTTAACACTTTATCTCTTTCACACTCTAAAGCTTCGAGTTTTGATTTTATTATCTTTGATTTTAGAATCACATAAGATCCTTGAGTCTTCTTGATGAGGCTTGAGATATTTCTTTAATAGTTATCATACCATGAGATGTTGATAGTATAAACTGACGCTGATCATAAACCTTAAGTCTTCACTTTAGAGTCATTGGACTATTGTGTTGACTTTAAAACATGTATTTAGCTCGATTTGGAAGGATAGCTTGATCAACCCACCTTGTGCAACTTTGATTGTTTGAACTAAATTTAGCCATTACTTGATTTTAAGTGTTGTCATCATCAAAATCATGCATCATGAAAACTAAGTCGTCATCATCAAAACCATGCATCTAGGGCTAACAATGAACCGAGCCAATTCGAAAATAGTTCGGAACTCGGTTCAATAATTAATTCGTTGAACTTGGTTCGTGAACTTAATGAGCTGAATATGAGTGAAAAATTAAGTTCGTTAACTAAATGAGTTGAACTTGAACTATACATAGTTCGACTCTTTAGGTTCATGAGCGAACTCAATTATATATGAGAATGATTATATTGTCTTTAAGAGTAGGTTTAAATATTTAATATAGATTTTAGCCTTATATTTTATTTTAATCTAACAGTTTAAATTGATAATTTATATTCTCAAGTGAGCAAAATATTTCTAAAAATAATTATATAAATAAAATTAGCATCATAATTTTTGAATTAGTAGATTTTTGAGACAAAGTGAAATTCCAATTTAATAACTTTTATTTTATTTCAAAAATTTCTTTTAAAATAATATTAATTTAAAATGTCAAATATATAAAAAACAGACTTTAAAAAATGACTTTTAAGCCCGTGAAGCAAGCGAGCTGAACCTAATGAGATGAGCCTAATGAGTCAAACCGAGTTGCTCATGAACTTATAACGAGTCGAGTTTGAGCTAAAAAAAGCATGTATCGAACTTGAACCGAGATTTGAGCTGAATCAATTCTTAACGAGTTGAGCTGAGCTGAGGCGAATTCGATTCGACTCGACTCATTTTCATCCCTACATGCATCATCAAAAGTTGTTATCCATAAGCTTCACCATCTTGGATCACCTCTTAATTAAACATGCAAGCACATAGCTCCATAGGTAGAATTCATAGGATCACAAGTGAAAAATCTTTCTGTTTGGTCTTTAATTCTTTTGTCAAATTTTATGGACCTGACACATAGTCCAAAAGGGTTTCTTATGTTGGAGTCTGGGTTTTCCATGCTGTCTTTTGGGAAAAATTTCTCATTGTGGCTAATGATTCCATAATTGAAACAGAACATAGGAATTTTTTGTATCTGAAGTCAATCCAGGTAGTTCTCTATTTCTTATTTCCTATGTGCATGCCTAGTTTGAGAGGTTCTTTGATATAAAAGCAAAACTTTTCTTTGATTAAGGTAACTTGCTTAGGAAAAAGATAACGTTTTGCTTCCAAAACCTGGCCAATTTTAGCTCCAATCTTATCACCCTTTTTTTTTATGGAATACCCCACAATTGAGCCCAAATAGAAACAATATCAAACTGCAAATCTTGATAGTATATTTGAGGATTCCATGGTTTAACAAGAATCCAGGAATTCCTTAATATTCACGGATCTTCTTTGATAATACATTTTATATCATTATGATTGAAATTCTTGTATGCAAATCTCAGATGTCCTAAGAGATGCCAAGAACATTGATCTCTGCTAAAACAGAACAAGGACAGACCATGTGCATTTTAATTCACTTTAAAAATTAGCAATGTCGTGACATCTGCTGTAACATCTGCAGACTGACAGAACAGTTTATCTAATCATTTAAATTGAGCAGAATGTTAAATGCAGAAAGATAAGTAACTGACAGTCGATGTTATATCAGATGTTATGACATCCGCTTCTGAACAGATTATTATACTTAACATTAAACAGGTAACGAAAGTAGTAAAGAACACAGGAAATTGTTTACCCAGTTCGGTGCAACATCACCTACGTCTGGGGGCTACCAAGCCAGGAAGTAAATCCACTATTAGCATAATTGATTCATAGCTAAACTCCCAGTTTACAACTCCTCACTTAATCTCTACCCAATGCAATTTCTGCCTAGAACCCACTAGACAAGAGACACCTCTCACTCCCCCACAATCACAGTAGTGATAACAATTCAATACAAAAGAAAGACTTTAGAAGGCACTCTTCAATGTCAC